TCTCGATCTCTTGACCTCGTGATCCACCCGCCTCGGCCTCCCAAAGTGCTGGGATTACAGGCTTGAGCCACCGCGCCCGGCCCCTATTGGTTTAATTTTAAACAATTACAACAAAACAAATAATGCTTTTCCATTGCTCAAAGAACTACAATATTTCTAAAGGCATAAAAGCACAAAGCTCACATTGTTAAAAATCCTCATGTCCCATCTCAATCTGGAGATTCACTTTTCCTAGTACCTCAGAAGACTGTGCTATTTATCCATCCATTAATGTGTTTTATTATGATAAACATATATTATGAGACAGCATTTATATTTTGATAGTTATTTGAGTGCCTAATGCAAATACATGTTTATATTTATCAGAAAGCTAAGCAATATTTTATATCTATTGGAATATGTGTGAGTACAAGATAACCTGCACTATATATCACCAGTATGGTTGTATATAAAATCCAAGTCTCTTTTCCTGACTTCATTAATCTCACAATGAAAATGGCATGAAAACACAATAATCTATAATAATAGCAATGTATAATGATAACACATGGTAATATTTAGGTCATAATTCACAGTTTAAAAGCTTCATTTACTTTCTCTCTCTTAATCATCAGAAGAGCCTGGAATAAAGCATCAGAGTTACTTTTCCTTTTTGCTGGTTAATACAAAAACATAGGAAGCAAGGTGACATCTCCTAGGCCATTCCACAAACAGCAGTGCTGGGAAGGGAATCAGTCTTCCAGAGAATGCATGAGAGCAAACACATACTCAACAAATTATAAAATAAGGAGACTCGCCTCTTAAGTGGTATTGTAAATGGATAGCGGAAGAGAAGTATGTGAGAGACAAATGCAGAAAAAAAGCTATAAATAATTGTGCTGACCTTACGAATATATTGTAAAAAAATAAAAACCTTTCAAGTATGTAAGTATTAAGCGTGAGTCAAGAAATTAATTCTACAAAAGCATAAGGAATATTCATATATACAAAATAAAATTTTAATTCACTGGGGACAAAGAATGTCTATTTCTCTATTTATGAGATAAAGAGGTAAGCTAATACTAACCTGAACTTTCAAGTCACCTTCATTACTTTTAAGGAAATGAAAGTGAGGGTAAAATATAATGAATATATGTATATGTGTGTGTGTGTGTGTATATATATATATATATATGGTGTTGGCTAGGTACTCTTTCGCTGATAAAGACCACAGGGATCTTTACTTCCAAAACCAAAAGTTCAGCCTTTGACCACTGTGCTTCAGAGAACAGACCTAGAGCTCACTTCATCTCTCTAGTCACTACTCACTCTTTCTCAAGTCACCACCTACTTAGGCCTACTCTTCCTTCTTCTTCCTCAAATTATTATATAATAATATTGACATTTCTTCAAAGAAAATATTATAAAAAGTGAAATATTTTCTATGAAAGTCTTCAACAGAATGACAAGGGAGTGGGTAATAGAAAAATATGAACAGGATAAAAGTATCAATGCAATCAATGAAAATATCCTTAAATCCTTTCATTTTACTTATTCATTTATTTGTTTTAGAGACAGGGATCTCACTATGTTGTCCAGGCTAAAATGCCATGGTTATTTACAAGTGCAATTGTAGTTCACTGCAGTCTACAACTCCTGGTCTCAAGTGATCTGACTGTTTCAGCCTTCCAAGTAGCCAGAATTACAGGCATTTGTCACCACACCTGGCTCCATCTTAACGTCTTTCTCCATATCTCTAACTTTAGAAAGCATGTCTCTCTCTCTCCATTAAATTAAATGATTCAAGCAAAAACCAAATTGTCCTAAATAGCTAATCTATGCCAATAATTATGCTGTGGTTGATTGTTCATGAGGACAAGAGACTTAAAAGTTTCATTAAGAGATGGAATGCTATAAAAAAACTCAAACTCGTGTTTGCCCAAATTAATATGACTCGGTATGTGGGGCTGAACCGTGGTTAGGAAGTTTTTTTGGCAATAAAGGCAGGGCAGTTACAGAGAAGAGTAGAAGGCTTATTCTATCTGCTACATTTGTGATTCATAAATATTCTTGTGCACAGATTATATTCTTAGAAATGGTCTATTATCACCACATTAATAATAGTACAGTCATCAATACGTTCTGCATTTGATGTATAAAGTTATAATATGTATAATTTTATTTTTTAAACAACTATTATTCTATACCAATCCTTTACTAGGTTCTATTAATGTCAGGCAAAGAAAAGGAAAGAAGGGTACTAATTATCTAAGTATATATATATATATATGTATATATATATGCTACTTTAAAATATATATATGTGTGTGTATACATGCACATAATCACTTTATTACTTTAGAAAGAAACAACATTATGAGCTATTTTTAACCAAGAAATGTTGTTAAATTACAGATACTCTTCATGACAATTTATAGCCAACACACAGACTTAGCTCAAAAACTCTTACCATTGTTGAATATTATTTAAATCTAAAAGTCTTTGGATAGCTTATAATTAAGCATATCTCAATATAAAACAATCATTGTGTTTTCATTTTGTTTTACTTAATAGTCTTTGTAATCAAAATCAAACTTTCACACTGAAAAGTGAAGTATTTTGCTTACAAGCCCAAATAAGAACTATAATGCGACATTCTATTTATAATGCTAACTCAAAAAAAAAGTCTCAAACACAAAAACACATGCATATACACAAAATCACATAGATCTCAGATTATAAATTATAGCTAAAAAGCGCAAGATGTAACGTTGACATATTTTGAAATGCTGATATATCACCATTGTGTCGGTCTTAAATATATTATTTGGCTATAACAGTGTCTAGCCTAGATACAAGACTACTGCAAGGATATTTTTAATAGTCTTTATATGTAGATAAGGTTTTTTTAAATTTTTTAAGTAGAAATATTAAACTGAACAAACACATACTGTTCAAGTAGACCAATATTAAAACAACAATTTTACAAATTAGTCCCTAATTTGAATTGCGGGTACAATTATTTTTCTAATAGACACATTTATCCTACAACTAAAACACGTATCACTTCATTTTTGAACATGCTTTGTTTTGAAAGAGATTCAGGATAATTGGTAGAATAGGAACATCAGCTATGGCTTGTGGATAATAATGGATGTCTAAAAATATGACAAAATGGTAATGGCCTTGATAATCAGATGACATTTTTGAGTTTGGTAAAATGTATGATTCTCATTCTGTTTCACCTCTGCTGTTAAAACTTAAGTGTGTGTGTGTGTGTGTGTGTGTGTGTGTGTATATATATATATATATGCTGTGGTTGATTGTTCATACTCAAACTTGTAATATATATTATATATAATGGATTTTTATTTGTTATGAACAAAGAAGCACCATAACATAAACAAGAGTTGTAAATAAGGATACATTTTAATAAAAACCATAGAAAAGGAGAGCAATGAATTTTTACCTCACAGGGCTATTGGAAGAATCTGGGTCATGAGCTGCTACAGTGCCAATGATATTTCCAACCTGGGTAGCTTCTGACACCTCCATAGGGTACAAAGGTGAAGAGAACACCGGGGGCTCATCCACATCTTCCACAATTATCTTCACGGTTGTCGTGTCACTGAATGGACCCAAGCTTAGAAAGCGAGGGTCGGCATCTTTATTTGCAGCTTCTATCCGTAGTGTATAACTTGTTTTGGCTTCAAAATCCAGCTCCTGTAAAGAAAGTCATTAGGAAAATTAAATTACCAGCTAAATAGTCAGCAAAGCAGAGCCTTTTCATTTGTAAATGTCAATAAGCATAGGAAAGACTCTGCTATGTAAATTCACCATCAGCATTCGAAAATAATAAATAACAATGTCAATCAAAATTCTTGCTGCTTTCCTGGCTCACAAACAATGGTTAGTGCTTTTGAATCACTTCATACACTCTTCTGTTATATGCCACATGAACAGACAGATGCAGGTCTTTGGAACACTATTTGAAAAAAAGACTGGTCAAATGTAATTTTTTTTTCCAACAGGGACTTTGTATGTAACGTTCTTCAACCATGTAATTTAACTATACTACCCAGGGTGCACTTTAAAAATGAAGAAAAACATTACTTTCCATTGAATTTCTCATTTAAAAGGTCAGTGATTAGGATTCTGAATTTCCAGAGGACTCAAAATGTGGCTGCAGGGTCAAGTGTGCCATCCTAAGGTTGTTCAGTGTGCAAACATGGACAATTCTTCTCCATGAAGCACCCATCATGTTTGCCTTCACTATTCCTCCATCAAAATAGACTAGATCTCTCTTTATTTTAGGAGGCTAACAGTTACATCTTAGAATCTACAGGCTGTTTCTAGTTTTCCAAAAGGATTTACGTGCTACAATTTTCCTAATAATTAGTTACCAACTCAAACCTCATTGGAGCTAAAAAACATTGTAAAGAAAATTAAACTAGTTGTACTAGTAAAGCACCATCTTTGAAAAATAAAAATCAAATACATAACATGCAGAAGTTGTTTGTGACAATAACACGCTTCTTTTTCTTCAATGGATAGAGAAACGAACAGCTTTTTATGACTTTCAATTTCAATCTCTCCTTTGCAAAACTGTCCTCAAATCCTTTTTACATTTAAGGATGTAAAACAAAAAGCTTTAAAAACACTAAAGAACTTTACAGAAATACTGCAAAATATAATACATACTTACTTAGTTGTCAGTATTTAAAAAATAAAGCATTATCAAATGTGAGCTAATGTGTAATACTGAGAATTGTAATTCAAATTCATTCACTATATGTTTGGGCATACGTGTGTGTACTTATGCAGGCATGCATCTATTCCAATTTATCCCTCAAATGATGTGACAACCAAAATAAATGAAACAATATAGTTATATAAATATAAAATAGGCTATATACACACATACTGTACTGTATATCATATATCCCAAACTGTGTATAGTGCATATAGACTGTGCTACATACAACACATATATATGTATATACATTACATATAAAAATATATGTATACACATTACATATGTATATATATGTTTGCACATAAATATTATATAAAGAGATCCCATGGCTTATCTCTGAATAAGAAAAAGAAAAAAAATATATATATATATATATCAATACACAAAATAGGCTTATGATATCTGGACCAGAGAGTACTTACTTACAAAAATGCTTATTTAACATCTGTCTCAGCCACTAGATTTTTAAGCCCAGACAATTCTGTTCATCCCTATTATTCTCAGTACCTAAAATGCTTTTGATACACAAGGAAGTCTCAATAAATTCTTGAGCCTCCTCTTCTTGAATTAACACAACAACAAAAATTACAACACAGATATTCAGTGTACAAGAGGCTGAAAATTGAACTATACATCTGACTAAAAGAATCCTTGTAATCCCAGCACTTTGGGAGGCCAAGGCGGGTGGATCACAAGGTCAAGAGATCCAGCCCATCCTGGCCAACATGGTGAAACCCCATCTCTACTAAAAATACAAAAATTAGCTGGGCATGGTGGCCCACACCTGTAGTCCCAGCTACTCGGGAGGCTGAGGCAGGAGAATTGCTTGAACCCAAGAGGCAGAGGTTGCAGTGAGCTGAGATAGCACCATCGCACTCCAGCCTGGGTAACAAGAGCAGAACTCCGTCTCAAAAAAAAAAAAAAAAAAAAAAAAAAAAAAAAAAAAAAAAAAAGAAGAATCCTGCAGGTCAAAGTGAGAGATAAAGGAAGAAATACAGTCAGGTATAGCATTTTTTCTTGAGCACAAAAACACTTTATAGAATTGCTCCAGAACAAAAACATTTTAATTCTTATATGAGGTTTTATATAAAAATGTTGGGGCACATGGAAAATACTGCCATAACAACATTGTAGAAACAAACTCAGGAATATTTTTATGAGGCTAATTCTTTTTGTTCTTTTTTATTATCTCAGAGTTTGTCTTGTCAAGTGATAGTCAAACAACGGTGAGAATCAGAACCTACCAGAGACCCTTCTAAAATATGTGTGGCCCCTTCCAAGGGAATTTGATTCAGCAGGTGCAGGATGAAGCACAGGCAGATATATTTTTAGAAGGCTTATTAGGTGATTCTGATGTAAATCTTCTCTTAAGAAACCTGACGTAGTCATTAAAATTTTCTTGGGCCTATATATAAATTCCAACCTTTATTTTGGGGAAACTCTAAGAAGCATTCTCATTAACCTAAAAGCATTTACTGAGATGCCAAAATGTACTTGTAAATAGATTGGATAATAACCTCTGTTTGTTCTTATATTCTTTACAAAAATTACTTATGATAAGAGAAACCTTATATCCAAATATGATGTGTCTATATGTAAAAAATTATGCTTAGAAATCCCATTTGTCAGCTCCTTTCAAATCAATGCAAAACCACAACCTTTAAGTTATCCATTCATGTTTTCACATTAGCAAAAGGCATACCAAGTATTTCTGTATTCAAGTAAAAGTTTGTCTCCCTTATGAAAGAACAATTTAAAATTTACTGCAGAAATGAATGCAATTTTTATAGTAAGTTGTTTTTTTTTTTAATGTGTCTAAAAGGCAGCAACATGAGGTATAGACATCTGGATGCTAAAAAGTCATGAAGAAACAGTGTATTATGTATGATGATTGGTTGCCTAAAAGCTATTATGAAAATAAAGCAATAAAAGAATTCATATGAAAGTCTATGAATCAAGATTACAGACAAAAGGAATTGCTTCACAAAATTATTTTCAGAACATATAAAAATATGCTGAGATTTAGTTTTCAGAGAGAAGAGTAGTGTGATGAATAAGACTTTTAAGCATTTGAAGAAGATGTTTTTGCAGTAAAATTTTAATTTTTATTTGATTTCTCATTATTAATTTCTACATAAGTAATACAGTCCATAACTATTAGATTTATCTATTAATATTATAATTGAAAAATAACAATTGAGAAAAGACACCAAAGAAGGAAATATAAAATAACAAAAGCAATTTTTAAATAAATTATCTCAATATTTGAAAGTATATTGTATTAGTTCGCTTTCTCACTGCTGATAAAGACATACCATACCTGAGCTGGGGCAATTTACAAAAGTTAGAAGTTTAATGGACTCAAAGTTCCATGTGGCTGGGACGTCTCACAACTATCACAGGAGGTGAAAGGCACATCTAACATGGTGGCAGACAAAAGAAGAGCTTGTGCAGGGAAACTCCCCTTTATAAAACCATCAGCTCTCATGAGACTTATTCACTACCACATGGGCAGGATGGGGGAAAACCATCCCCATGATTCAATTATCTCCCACTGGTTCCTTCCCACAATGCATGGGAATCATGGGAGCTACAGTCCAAGATGAGATATGGGTGGGGACACAGCCAAACCATATCATACATATAAGTGGATAATTACATAATGGGAAATTTAATCAAAACACTGTTCACACTATAGACCACACATCAAGGACAAAGTAAGATTAATAGGAACCTAGAATCAAATATGAAGCAAACAGACACAGGCTACTGAATTCATAGTCATTCTTGGAAACCTAGTACACTACTTTTTTATATATCACGTGACATTGAAATAAACAAGCAGCTTTTTTGGTGTATTCGTTTCCAAACTACAAAAGTATACTGTCAAGGAAAATTAAATTAGGATTAAAAAGAATTCTGTGCAAGGCAAGAGGCTGCAAACTATTTTGTAAAGTATAAATATCAGTGAATATCAGTCTTTGTAGGGCATACATTCTCTGCCACATGAAAATGAATGAATATGATTGTTTACAAGTAATAATTTTTTGATACGTAAGTCAGATTTTAAATTCTATATAGCTTTCATGTATCATAATACATTCTTCTTATTTTGAGTTTTTTCCAATCATTTAAAAATATAAAACCATCTTTAGCTCATGGGCTGGGCTAAAACAGGCAGGCCGTTGTTTGCCAATCTCTGATCTAAGGAGCCCAAAATGGTAAGGCTAACACTGAAGGCCTTCCATGATCAACATCCCACACACCATCTCTCTTTTAGTGTATAAATATATATATATATGTGTGTGTAGATATATATCACCTCCTGCTCCTTCTTAGATGATTCAAAAATTTTATTTATTTCTTACATAACTTTGTCATTCCTCTCAGTGAAATCTTTTAGAGACTATCGCCTTCTTTATAAGCTTTTCCATAATCCTCTCACCTACATAATAAGGAAACTTCTTTATATTGAGAGCTAACTACAAAGAGTTTTACACATACATCTTTAATGTGCATTTTGAAATACGTAAGATTAGTGTTTGTTTCGCATTTATTATTTGAAATGCCCCCCGCACCCCACCACCAAAATTCTTACGTTCAAATCCTGACCCCCAAGGTGATGCTATGAGGAGGTAGGACCTGTGGGATGCAATTAGATTTTGAGTGTGGATTCCTCAGGAATGGTAATTAGTGTCCTTATAAATGAGACCTCAGAAACCTGCCTCACCCCTTCTGCCACATGAGGACACAGGATATGGCTGTGTATGAACCAGGAAGAGGGCCCTTGTCAGACACCAAATCTTGATTTTCGACTTCTCAGCCTCCAGAGCTGTGAGAAATAAATGTTTGCTGTTTAAACACCCAGCGTATAATATTTTTGTTATAGTAGCCCAAACAGACTAACACAATATTATTAATACACGTGAAAACTAAATAGCAAAGAGTTCTGGTAGAAGTCCAAAAA